CTATTTTTAGATCAAGAAAAGATACATATTTCGATTAGTAAAAGAATTGTGAGTAGTTTAGCACTCGAACTCCCTTTAAGTGCTAGTGAAGATTGTCCTAAAATATTTATTTATTCGCTCATTTTTTTAATTTCTTTAATTACCGTTTATCTTTTAGAATGGATATTCTCGTAATCCTATTAAACATTTTAAATTATTATGTAATGAATGTAAACCTTAACTTTATTATTTGTTTCTACATTTAAATTATAAATTTATTTTCTTCAAAATTCCGAGCATTTATAAACATAATCCTAAAATAGGAATAATATAAAATTTGCTCCAATTTAATCCAATATAATTTTTTTAGTTAAAATATATGTTTGAGTTAGGATTGGTTTGAGTTAATAGAAAAAAGAAAGGGTTTGAGTTCAAATAAGACTTTTCAAAATTAGTTTGGATCAAATTCATTACGGGTATATATATTTAATTTTTTTATTATCATAAATATTTGTATAATAAGTATATATTATTATGTATTAGTAAATATATTTTTAATTTTTTTAATAAAAATATAGTTATATTTATAATAATATAATAAATTATTGAGTCGGATTGGATAATTCACAAACCTGATATTATTCGAAAAAAAAAAATGTTTTACACCCACTTGAATTCATAATAAATTCAATTTGCTCTTAACATGAACATATTAATTTCAAATTTAGTAAAACCTGTCTCGAATACACTATGTTATTATCTCTAAATACAATAAAATTTATAAATAATATAATTTTAAATTAAGTATAAAAAAATCAAAATCAAGGAAACTTGTATATGAGATAACATCAAGTTTTGTTTTTCAAAGATTTATATTTTAACTTATAAATATAACTATCAAGAAATTTATTTTAAAGTCAAATCAAATACCTTCTTAATTTGGTATAAAATTACTATTTTGAAACATGGAACTAAAAAGAATATCACAGACACTTTTGACAAAAGAAAAAGAGTTGGAATTGTTCTAATTTTGTAGGGCTGCAAAATTCATACACATGTGGTGTCATTCATAGGCACAATATGTTCAATAGTATATTTATTTATTTTATTGGATTGCTTGTCAACCCTGCTTGTTTAATTGGTCACTTGAGGGATTGAAACATATACATACACACACACATGTATATAATGGATTTGATGAGTAGAACTACGTAATTTTAATAAGAAGAGAAACCAAATCTAATCCAAAATTAAGTTAAATATGTTTATTGACTTTGCATATTGAAGATTTCAACTAGGATTTTAATTAATTAAAAGTATATTTACTTAAATATTTGATGATTAAGGGTGACAATGAGTCAAATAGTTATTTTACATGCAATTATTTTTATTTCTATATTTTTCAAAAATTCAATTTGGTGACAAGAGAATATATTTTCAACGAGTAATTAGTGAATAATTACTAAGCATTTTTAATTGCAATTTTTTTTTTTGCTAAAAAAATTAATCACTTGAAAATATTTTTTATTGTTTTTATAAATGCCAAAAAAAAAAAAAAACTTTTTTCTTTTGGGATTTTGGAGAACTTTTTATTTCCTAATGTCCTGATTTGAGCCCATGGACATATGCAAAAATCAGGCCCAGTCCATGCGATTTGAAATAATTTATATATATATATATATGTTGCCAAATGATTATTGAAGTTAAGAGCCTTTTAAAATTTGTGCATATAACATATATGCGTACACGTGTATATATATGTGTGTATATATATGTCACAGTGGTAATATACCAACTTTTTTTTTTTTTGGAATGTTACAATATATTACATATCTAAATCTAAATCTATGATTAATCAAGAAGGGAGTTAGGTTACACTTCACAATGCATGTGTGGTAGGTCAATTGCATGTGATCTACTAAAATTTCATATTAACATTAATTTTGTTCTTTTAATAATTTTTTTTTTTTGAAAATAATTTTTTTTTACTATTAATAATATTAAGTGTCTTAATTTTCAATTAATTAAATTAGGTTAAGCCTTTTACAGTGAAGAATTTTGTAAGCCAAGTGGCTAAGAAGGTCCTAACAATGGGACTAAACGGTGAGTTTCATGTGTTTGAGATTCAGTGAGAACGATTTGCTCAAAGTGGCTGACGGGAAACATGTCTTTGCATATGCTGATGACCCATGTAGTGAGATGTAGGAACTGAGACAAGTTCTTGTTGATCATGCTCCGATTAACACTGGCAATTTAGAGAATCCCAATACCTCAATCTTCTCAAAGATCAGTGCTTTCGAGGAGGAGTTGAAGGATTTGTTACCGAAAGAGATCGAGAGGGTGAGGAGTAATTTCGAGAGTGGGAAATCTGGAATTCCAAAGGGAATCAAGGAGTGCAGGTCGTAGCAATTTGTGAGTTTTTGACAGGGGAGAAGGTGAGGGATGTCTTGAGATACTTGTGAAGGGAAGATAATTGAGCCATTGCTGGAGCGGTCTTAAGAACTGGGATGGAACTCCTCTTCTAATTAGTTAAAAGGGCTTTAAAGTTTCTGCAAGTAAAACTAAATAACAAGATTAAAGATTTTGGTATTTTGGGGTAATGTAATGTGCAAGATGTTTATGTTTGTTTTATTAATTGTCTTTTTCCCCCGGTAATGATTTTTATGTATGTTGATCAAGTAATGTACAGAAAGGAGTATAGTTGATTTATTGTAAGCTTATCTTTGTTTTCTATATGTTTTTATATTTTACTTAATCATGATTATTGAATATTTTAAGAATACACATAAATTTGTTTGAGTTTATTAACATGGTTCGTTAATTTAAAATTTTTATCTACATATATGTATATATATATATATATATATATGGTTGTTGTCAATGAGAACAATTTGTTGGGTTAATCAAATTTAATATGAAAACTTCTGATTAGTAACATCAACACACACCACGATTATGCAATAAATTGTGAAGAAATAGAAACTTTCTCCCATTCAAAACCAGCATGGTTCAGTTCACTTATTAGATGTAAATATCAATTAAATTAATTAGAACCGTTAAGAAAATACTGCGGGTGAAAATTTTAACGGCCCTTCAGAAATAAACCATTTTTTTTTTTTCATTTTTATATTACAGCATGCATTTTTCTACAAAATGCATCCAACCATATACAAATTTGGATGATGTGAGAATTACAACAGCCCCCTTTCAAAGAAAAAGCTTCCGAACAACAGGCTCCTAACAAAGAAGACCTCTGAACAAACCACAAGGAAGTACCTAGTTGAAACGCCGCGAGCCCCTTCCCCCTGCCCCCTTCTCCGATAACCAACGGAGAAAAAGAGAAAACAAAAATTAATCAGTCTTCATCTGAATCCGATAAACAAACAATATCAACTGGTCGCCCTGTCTGAATAATATTGGGTCTCATAATACTCGAATTGCCGGGTTGGGATTGGACCAATGGATCTGGATTTATTGGTTGCCGTGAAAAATTGCTGGGACGATTTGGATCCACAGGAGCTTGATTGCTAACATCCATAAGCATCTCCATAGCGGATCGAGGAGTGTTTGGAAGAGCAGAAAACCCTCCTGCAGTTTCAAGTCGGGGGATCCTGGCAGGTGGCAGAATGTTTGGTGGACAGTGCTGAAGAGAGAGATTACTTGCCGGAGGATTATAGTTGGCTAACTGGCTTGATATGCCACGGGTGAGAGATTGGAGGTCGGTTACAGGCACAGAGGTTGACGGTCTGAAAGGTTGTAAATGCGGAGCAGGAGCCCGGATTTCACTGCTTAGTTGGTGATTTCCTGCTGCGGGAGACATGGTACCAACAAGAGGGGGTCTTGCTAGAGGGTTGCATGCAAGTGTAGCGGGCCTAGCAGCAAAATTAACAGCCTGCAAAAGGGGGGCCATAACTTGGGAGCTGACAGCAGAAGGTGCTGTCTGCAAGCTAGCCGCTACTGGTGCTGTTGGGGGTAGACCGGTGGCAATGGACAGTCTTTGCTGGGATGATTGTGGAATCAGCTGCTGCATCACCCCTGCAAAAAATAACAATAAGAAAGTCGCCAGAAATGAAAGGGAACCAATAGATGCATGAGAAATTATAGACAAGAAGTGAAGGCCAAAGCATGCATGGGAAGCATGCACACAATTAGATGTTCACCAAAGTAAAGCACCCATAAAGCCCACAATCCCTTTTTGACTTGCTAGATAAGAGGACGATAGGATGAGATAAAACCAGGGAGAGAGGCCTAAATAATGGAAAGAAAAATGTCTAACATTATTTGGACAAGATAGCATTGCAAATGAAAATCAAATATTTTATTTTGCTTAAATTAAGGTGAAAAAGGAATTGATGTAAAATTATTACCCTGCAAAAAGACAAGAATTACCCCATTATCTATTAAACATAATAGCAAGTCAATCACCACAAGTAAATTTTATATCCATTTCCATTTCCATCCCACATTGATAATTCAGAAGAGAGAATTTTGGAGCCTTGAAAGAGAATGGATGAAAATTCACCTTCATCTCAATTCCATTTCATTAATTAATATTTCTCCCAAACAAAATTAAATATTTCTCCCCAAGTTTCTATTTCATCCCATTCCTTGCTCCCAAATATACCTTAAGATAAAGGTTTCACTTAATACAAAGAAATATTTTTGTAGTTTTTTATTTTCTACATTCATATATGTTTACATATTAAAAGGAAAAAAACATGGGGTGGTAACGCTACATATAATAACTGGGGTTTAGTCTTTTCCCATCTAATTTCTAGTCAATTCTTAGTTCTAATTTATCCTTACGAGACCGACTGACCACCCAAGACAAACTGAGGAGATTGAGAGCCGAGTCCCAAAGTCTGGTAAAATCCATACAGCAAAGAAGAAAAAATGGCTTGAAGATTCAGCCTCAGACTCAGACTCAAACTCGCATAAAGAGACCTACCTCACCATCATACAC